TACATGGTCGTTTTTTTCGGCAAAAAACGCCTTACTATACATGGTCGTTTTTTTCGGCCAAAAACGCCTTACTATACATGGTCGTTTTTTTCGGCCAAAAACGCCTGACTATACATGGTCGTTTTTTTCAGCCAAAAACGCCTGCCTCTACATGGTCGTTTTTTTCGGCAAAAAACGCCTTACTATACATGGTCATTTTTTTCGGCCAAAAACGCCTTACTATACATGGTCGTTTTTTTCGGCCAAAAACGGCTCACTTTTTGTAAGTATGGCTGTTTCTTGGAATCACTTTGTTCTCAAAATTACACATTTTACCTTCTGAATGTAAGTCCTATTTTTCGCGTGACTTCGTTATTGCAACTTTACAAATCAGTTTTGGTTACACTGTATATTTTTATGACTTTTTTTCTGGTTAATGTAGCCATTTTTCAATGTAATTATCGCTTCATTCTGAATCTCACCTTTGTGGTTTTGACAGCGTTGGAGCAGAAACAAGCGGCGGTGGAAAAATCCCTGGCAGCGATGCGGGAAGTCACGTCTTTGCTGAAGAGTTGATGGCCACTTTCCCACCACACTGTACCACAGTGCCACTGTCAATCAGAAACTCTCCATTGCACACCTCATACCTGAATGTCTTCTGTTGCACACCACATTGGCTTCTGAAACTTTTTTTTCCGTTCCCTTTCTTTCTTTATAAAAATGCCTGTTAGTGTTCCGGGGTTTTTCCAGTGTGACCACTCCAGTTTGTTCCGGTACGGGTTGTTTCTCTGCCTTGCTTTTTATTTTTGAGTCACTTGGCCACTACAGCAATGATTATTATTCTTCGAACTCGTCCCCACTCTTGTGTGTTTCCTCCAGTTTTATCATCCCTAAAGTACTGCACAGAGGTGAGGGGCAATCCACGAGTTTGGAAAATTGACCCAAAAAGAGCCATTTGTGAAGCACGTAGGGGAAATTATCTTGAGGATGTCAACCAGTTGTTATTTGCAATGTCTAAAATAAAAGTGGTAGTGATAGTGTGGAACTTAAAACAGTGCAACGTCATTACAAAAACAGGAACAATACCGGTATACATTTTGAACCGGGGTCAAAAAAAAGTTTGTGATATTACAGAAAGTTACAGTATAGGTAGTTTTTTTTTGTCTATGGCTGTCTTTTTTTTTTTTTTTCAGTCCTTTTCGCTAATGTACAAGATATTGCTGAGACTGATCAATTTTATTGTATTAGCTCATATGAGTAAGATTTGTATATTAGCATATTGGTCATTGAAAGTTATATAGGATCAGAAGTACGGTATATAAAGTGTTACTTCTATTCCTTTTCAAATAAGTACGCATTTGAACTTTTTGGTTTGTTTTGTTTTCTCAATCCGAAAGAATTCCATGTAAACATTAAAGTCAAATTCCGTTTAATGGTGTAAAATGCAACAAATGTGTCATTTTTTTTGATGGGAATCCTAAACAATGTTACAAGTACAAAAAGTATACAAGTAGATGCCTCCAAATATTTGCAGGTGAGTAAATGAATGACTAGGATACCTGGTAGGTGGGAACAACCCTCCATACCCTTGCACAATACAAATCCTTCGCACACACTCATCCTTCCTTGACCAACAAAGCCCTGAGGGAGGGACCAAAAAAAAAAACCCATGAGATGAAAGATGCCACTGGATGCTGCACTTCTCAGAAGCAAAGTCCCGCCAGCAAGCAGTCAAAAGAGCTGCTGGAAAGTGTCGTGAATGGATCCAGGTAATTGAACGGCAGGACTCCAGCCGGCTTCCGGGCGAGTTGATGGCATATAGATGGTGAACCTGGAGCGCTGGGTGACTCCGGAGGGGTCGCGGTCGTCCACTTGATAGCCTCGAAGGTGTTGTCACTCGTTTTAGCAACTCAAAGTTGTCTCATGTCTGTCTCAAGTGATATTACAGTAACATCAAGTTCAACACAATAGATGCACCACAAAAAAAGAAAAAATGCGCCAGTCAAATTCCTACGTCAGCTGCTGATTAAATAACTAACGCATGAGGAAATTGTGCATTTCTTTGCCTCTGAACAGACCAAAAGGGTCTTGACGTCAGTTCTGTCTGTTGTGTATGTACAAGTGGAGCGAAAGCCACTGGAATGCTTCTTCCATCCAACTCAATCCATCTTAAGGTCAGTGTGCTAGTGCACTCTTTGTCCTGACCAGTTTGACACTGTAGCCTCTTAATGCAAAGCCATTGTCCATTTCTTTATACCCATCTTGGCCACTGTCATGTACTAATATGCTCTTTTTCCTCACTGGAAAAACAAATCAGCACACTCGAAGGATGTCGAATGAATGACAAAAATAACAAGTGCGCTGCAAATAAATTCTTAAATGATTTGAGCATTTGATCAAGATCTTTGATGACCACCTTCAAATCGATAGACTCATGTTCCCCTTGTCCTCACTCGTTCAATTCAGCATTACCAGTAAAACAAAGTGAGGCAACACTTCAGATCATGAAATCCAGTACTTCCTAGTGCACGGCTCTTGAGATGGATGTGGAGTAAATGCTCTGGAACGGCTTTCCGAATAAGTGCGAACTGATTGACATCTGTCCACAAGTGCAAATCGTATTAAGCAAAAGAAGTAGAAAAAGTGTCAAAAGTTGCTTGGTCAGTTGAATGTCTTTCAAATATACATGATTAAAAAAAAAAAAAAAAAAGTGAATCATTGGATGTCCCCGAACACAGCATATTTCCAGGTCAGTTCTTGAAGGCGCCGCAGCGGCTGGCTCGACAAATGAAGTCCTTGAGTAAGTCGCCGTCAATCTGGCAGAAGGCGTCCGTCTGTGTCACTCGAGTCAGGTGGTTGACGCAAAACTTGAAGCAGAACTCCTCCAGATCCTGATGACCAACAATTGAAGCGCAATTACACTCAACGACATGGAAACTTTTTCTTTTTTCTTTCTTTAAATAATACATGAGCCGTCAAAGGCAGACCTCAGCGTCGTAGCGCACGGCGGCCGACAGCAGCGTGAAGGCGTTCTCCACCGTGATGCCGCTCTTGATGATGTGCTGGCACAGGCGCTTCAGGCGGTTCTCGCAGTAGGACGTGGCCAAGTCCAGAAGTCCTGCAGACGCAACATTTCGCTTCAGAAAGGACACGGGCGCCGGGTGGAGTTTCACCCGTCTGCGTTTCGGGGACTGACCGATGGCGTCCTCTGGCGGCAGCTCCACATTGTCCGTGTAGAGGAACTCCAGGAAGGAGCGATACACCGGGAAGGAGAACTGGTCGATTTCGATCACCTCCTTCAGATCTTCGTTCCAGTGCGATTGGAACATGGAGCGGAAGTGTTCACACCTTGAAACGGAACACAGACACGGGGTCATCTGTGGTTGGAGTTCCAAAAAGTACATTCACACAAATGCACACCACAAAAATCAACAAGCAAACAAATTCACCTATTTGCGTTTTTCTATATGGAACCTATCAGCTATTTAATGAAAAAAAAAAATAGAACTTGACCTACGCTAACTCGGAGACCGGTGCTACATGACGTTCTGAGATGTGGGAAGGGAATTGTTTAATCTTTCCCTTTCCTGTTGTTGTTTCCTTGTCCCAAACTACAACAGATAAACAAGAGGTCACTTAGACCTTCAATGAACAAAATCGCCAGCATGGCGGTTACAAATCTGTAGCCGGCTAAAGTAACAACAACAACATGCTGCTGGTTGCAAAGTTTTAAAGAATCGAATCGTAAATGGGGAGAAAGCCATTATTACTGTCTGTCCTCTGTCTTATTTAAAGCTCCACTGAATGCCCACCCCCCCCATCCCCAATGTGCCTTGAAGCGAGTCTGACCTGATTTTGAGAACTGCTTTGTGGACGTAGATGTATTTGCCATCCACGCAGAACTTGAGGTCGGCGGTCTCGGGGTTGTCAAACTCCTTCTTGAGAGACTGAGCCACCGTCGGAAAGTCGTCAAACTCTGCAAAAGAGGAGATCCCACATGAGAACAGATTCTTTTTCAAACTCGGTCAGATGATCGATTGAAAAAAAACAAAAAAAAAAACGCAGGTAGCGGGGCATTTACGTGCATCGGAATCTCACCCATGGACAGAAGCCTCCACATCACCGAGGGTGTGGCAAAGCAGGCAAAGACGTCGTCGGTGCAGGCAAAGTGCGTGAGGTGGGGCAGCACGATGGACTGCCCCCTGCACTGGCCCCACATGTACACCTGGCCGCTCTGCGTCTTGGCGGCCGACGTGTGCGTGGAGTGACAGGCGGCCACCTCCACGATCCTGCAGCGCAAACAAAACAGGGGGAGCGCCGTGGGTACAGGTGGCGCTGTGGTGTCTTTTTCTTTGCATTCATGAGCGTACAACAAAACAAAATGAGTGCTGCCTTGAGAGCTCATTCTAGCATGATGTACAATTTGAGTCGCTCAACAATCTGGGGTCTCCATTGTCGTATTTCACACTTCATGGCGTGGGCACAAGCACACCATGACAGATGCTGGCTTTCAAACTTGACCCTGATAATCGTGAAGTGTTCCTGAGCTCACTTAGCGAGACCCTTTGACACAATGATGCTAGTTTTGAAACGGACTGCCGCCTGACCATTCGAAGGTCCCGGACATTCAATGTGCCTTTTTGGCCTTGCCGCTTACGTCAAAGAAATTTCTCCAGATTCATTCAATTGAAATCCTATTTTGACAGAAATACATTGCGACTGAAATTGAACAAAATAAAACGATACGTTTTGGGGAACTGGCAATTTAATACACAAGCGTAGCTTCGGTTGGATGGGCTTGTCAATATTCAAACTCGATAGTGTTGGGCTTGTTGGTCAATCTGAGATTTCAGACAGCCGATGAGATTTTTTTTTTCTTTACCACATCAGAATTGAGAAGAGGGGAGTTTGGTCGCACCTTCCCTTCTCGCTCATGATCTGCACGGGGCTCAGCTGGTTGCTCCTGTTGCCCGTGCCCAGTTGGCCGTACGTGTTGGCGCCCCAAGCGTACAGGATGCCTTCATCCGTCAGTGCTAATGCATGCGCGTATCCACACACGATCTGGAATGGAAACAACAAGATTGTGTGTGGAATACACACGTCCCTTGAAATGCAATTTGGGAGTAGAAAATGCCTTGCATGATTTGATTTTGCAAATGTACGGACAGAAATGATCTACATTGCTCAAGGAAAGAAAATGATGAGATCATTGGTGTGCCACAAGTCCAGAGATAAAACGACACAAGAAAAGCAAAACAGTTGGTGTCCAGAGATAAAACGACACAAGAAAAGCAAAACAGTCATGCTAAAAATAAATAAATAAATAAATAAATAAAAATACCTGGTACTACTAAAAATTAATACTAACAACTAAAAAAATTTTGTTTTTTAATGTACAAATATTTTGACAGAAATACATTGCTTTTCTAAAATAGCTTATGGTTTAATTTGAATCCTAGTGAAAAAAGTTTTGGTTGCTGTAACGAATGCTTCACGTCATCCAAACTTCCAGGCCCCGAGAGTCAGAAACGGCAGGCTTCTCAGGAGACACTTTTGCAGGTCTACTCATGTCGTAAGTGAAACGAGCGTCAAGACAAGCGAAAAGATTGGCGATTTGGTTTATGAATAATACCGTCATTGCCGTATTCATCTTTGAATATGTTCACGAACGTGACCGTAGCCTGCAGTGTAAGCCCTCACCTGCTGCACACACAAACCCTGCAAACCGAGGATTCGAGACGGAGCCAGCTGGTTGCCGTTATTCCCCAGTCCGAGCTGACCGTTGCCGTTGTAGCCCCAGCCGTACACCTGCGCAAACGACCAAGCGACAGAGTCAGACCGCAACGACATTCGACTGGAGAGCGAAGAACGACGCGTTGTAATCACCTCGCCGTTGTCCACCACCGCCATGGACGAGGTCTGGCCACAGACGATGCCGACCACAATCTTGTTCTGAAGGCCGCTGGAAACGCGACGCGGGTGAGGCTGGGTGGCTGTGGAACCGGAGCCCACCTGGCCGCAGTTGTTGTACCCCCACGCGTATACCTGACAGGAAGGAAGAAAGACAAAAAAATAAATAAATAAAATAAAGTCACATTATTAGGTACATCTGGATATGCTTTCCAAGGATAATGTTCACTTTTGATGAAAAGTGAGCTATGGTACTTCTGATGTGCCTCGGAGAGCGTTTCTAATCTTTACATTGCTTTATTTCGACTTGATTTAATTACAATCTAGAAAACATTGTCACATTAACTATTTTAATAGTTGAGCCTCGTGGTATACTTTACAGTCTAATAGTATATTATGCGTAACTGCTCGTAATATATTTGAAAGTATGATTAGTGGATAAGAAAAGATCGTACATTGTGTCTAACTTTATAGTGTATGCAACAGTACGGGAAAACAATAAATAATTTTTGATCTATTGTATCATGAAACGGAAATGAAAGGGGTCGGAACGGGCAAGTTAATACTTGTTACTCTTTTTCAAACATGTCGGTGTCAGCAGGTAATTCAATATTAACGAGCGGGGCGGCCCATGAGCAAACATTTTCTCACCATCTCTGCAATAGATAGAATTTTATTCCATTTTTTTGGGGGGGATGTCATTGGAAGTCTGGATAAGACTGAGTCAGTAATCCACTAGTTGTAGTCTACGTGACTAAAAATGAGCCTCCGCGGATCTAGAAAGGGAGTGTGCCTACCTCTCCTAATTCAGTGAGCGCCATGGAGTGGTGCGAGCCGCAGGCCACCTCGGTCACCTTCCTGTTGAGCAGGTTGGCCGACACGAGTACCGGCGCCAGCCCTTGGTTGGTGGTCCCGTTCCCCAGCTGGCTGTAGCCGTTGTGCCCCCAGGCAAAGAGCTCGCCGTCTGAAACCACAAAAAAGATTCCGCAAAGATACAATGAATACCAGATGTCATTTTGCGACGGTCGACAGGAAAACGACGCATTGGTGATACCCTCAGTGGCCAGCAGGACGTGCGGGCCGCTGCCATAACTCATGCTGATCACCTTCCTGCCGCTCAGGAAGTCCAGCTTCTTGGGTGCGATGGTGCTCTGGTTGTCTCCGGTGCCCAGGCAGTTGCTGCAGTTGAGTCCAAACACGTACACCTGGACCAGGCAGAGCAAATCAAACAAGAAGAGGTTACATTTATCCGAGTAAACAGCCACGTCTGTGTCTGTGTGTCCACTACAAAACATGGTAGTATCAATCAAAGGGCATTACAGCAACCAAGTGGAACCACATGAATTTGTTGTGTAAATGTGATCATGTAATGTAATCATACATGTACAGTATATGGGTTCACAGTCATAATAGCCCTCCAGAACTATAATGTGGCCCGCTACAAAAATGAGTGACACCTGTCTCAGAGGGTCAACAATATGCCTGTGAGCACCTTCAAAGTGTCAGTCTACAAGTGTTGCTCCAACATTTGTGTTTGAATATTCATTGCTGAAACGGTTCGAAAACAATTATCAATGCTAACCGTTAGCATGTCAATGGTATTGTCCCTTATATGTTAGCATTAAGGTAGCAGACCATTCTTAATGCAATGTTGTTAATTGGTCGCTTGAATACACAAGGTTTAATTCTCTTTGTTTTGTGTTTAGTTTGACAGTCGACTTCAAACTGGGCCGGCAACACCGCATAAACCCACCTCATCGTCACTGGTGATGAAGATGGCCTCATTGGCGGCCGCGCCAAAAACACAGGCTTTCCAGATGCAGGCCAGCTCCTGGGGCGCCATCAGACTGAAGAGAGGCCATTTTGCCACGTCCACCATTTTGTCCTTGTGTGTCGGTCACTCTGGGGTCAGCAGGCTGCGGGGCGGGGTGCAGCCCTCAAACAAAAGCCAAGGGAGAGAGGCCCGGCAGGTGGAGGCTGCCTGTTCTGCAAACAAGATCTCTCAGTATTTTTACAACAAACAACCATGCACAGATGACCACACAGAGGGGAATCAGCTGATCTTGTGATCAGGCCACAGACCCGCAGATCAAATGTGGGCAAGAAGTGAAGAAGTAAGTCACTGTGACTACTTTGTCATCGTTCATTATATTTAGATTTTTAAATGTATTGAACATATCAACAGATTATTGCAATATTTAGGGAGGGCCAGATTAATGGCATTAATGGAGGGTTGTGTGCCTTTTAGTTTTGCACATCTAGAGACCGCAATGTTTGCCCATTCCTTCCTTCCAAAACAGCTCCAGCTCCGGCAGATTAGATGGCTCGCGTTTGGGACTGTAATTTTCAGATCTTTCCACAGATTCTTAATTGGATTAAGGTCTGGATTTTGACTTAACCATACTAACGCCTGCATAGTTTTAGTTTAGTTTAGTTCTGAAATATTTCATCATAGATTTTGCTTTATGTTTAGGATCAGTGTCTTGTTGAAATGTAAACTCCCGTCCCAGTCTCAGGTCTTTTGCAGACTCCAACAGGTTTTCTTCCAAAATTGCCTGCCATTTGGCTACATTCATTTTCCCATCAATTTATTCACCTTCCGTCACTATCGCGGGCCCAGAACGTCCATTCCCAAAACAGAGCTAACACAAAACTTGAGAGCAAGTTCGATATTTTATTCAAACAAGGGAGCACAAGAACGTGAGCAAGGTTAAGCACAACAAAATGAAAAATGAGGTCTGCTTATATGTGAGAATACAAGAACATGAGAACTGGTGATACGTGGCGGGGGGAAAAAATGTGCACACAATCAAAAAGGGTGGTGTATATTTGGAATTTTGAATGGCGTGAACTCATCATGTATGACTGAGTAAAATTACTTTAAAAAATGAGGATATTTTGTCAAATATCTCAATTTTTTCTTGTGCAATACCTGCATTTTCGGAAAGTGAAAAAGTATAAATCTGAATATTTTGAATATAGCGACTATTTTCAAGTCTGACTGGGTTGAAATCGAATGAGAAATGTGTGCAGTACTTGGACCAAAAATGGGCGAAAAGATTCAAAGAAATTTGAGTTTTAGAGTAGAATAACAGCATTGACAACACGCTCCCTTGTAGACTTGTTCGAGGAACACTCACTATTAGCAACCACTCGTCGCTAAACAGAAGCCGTTTGCGTTTGGAATTGGAAAAAAAAAATATTTCACATCTCTGGTACGATGACGGGTGGAGGGCAAACAAATTGTGGCCATTGTTACGAACACACAACACAGCAAACCGGCTGACACCGCAGGACAAAAAAAAAAAAACAGCCGCCGACAGAGCGAGGAGTTGCTCGACTCATCCGTTTGGAAAGTGGCGGCTAAGCTAGTTAGCTACTTCGCAGTCAACGAAGACAAATAACTTGTTTTCGACAAAAATTCACCTGTTACAAATGTGCGCGCGGGCTCGGGGTAAGGCGATCTAATTGTTACCTTCACCATGGCACCCGAGCGTCCAATGTGGCCGTCAGTCACTCATGTTTACAACAGCGGACCAGGAGCGACGAGCCACCAGTCAGTCCACACTGGCAATTAAGCTGAGCTTGCGCTGACCCGACGCTTGTTTGCGGAAGTCACACGATTACGCAGGAAAACTAATCGATTACAGAGCTGGCCTGTTTGGATTGAAACTCAAATCGATTACTGTCTTCAGCGTGTTCCATATGTACTTCCTGACCTGCCCATGCTGCTGATGGATACCTAAAGTATGAACAATGAGATACACCTCATGCCGTGGAAGCTCCCTGTGGACCATGGCTTGTTGTGGTGTCAGATGTGACCTAAAAAATGTCAGGAAAAGCCGACTCAAACATCTGAACTTTATATGGGTTAAACATGAGTTTGAATGTGTTTATTTAACTCTGAACACAACCATATCCCCAGTTATAAGATGGTATATCACACGAAGCGCATTATCTGAGTCGTTTCCTTCCTCATGCCAAAAGATTTTTAAAAATTGAGTTGGAAAGGTTTTATGACACAAGGAATGGCAGACAGTGACTGTTGCATTCAACTTCATGCAGTAATTTTATTTTCTATTATTTATCATTTCAAAATGCTTCCAGTCGTTGTTGCGAACAACACTACTCTCACATTTTAAAACTATTTTGGCATCGCAACTTTTCTCTCTGTTTTTCAACTCATCTCATACGTTCTGACTTCTTCATAGTCCAACTTTGTCAAGTTTTTTCCTCATGATTGTATTGAAATTTACAAGTTTCAGTGTTACAACTGTCATTTTCCCCCATGGAATATTCTGACTTTTGTTGCTCTTAATAGTACAATTTTATATTAGCAAAATTCTGACTTCATTATGTTTTTGATATATTTTTGAGTTGTTCTCAAGCTGTATTATATATTCTTCCTTTTTTTTCCTATCGAGACCACTGCACCCATCCAGGTTACTTCCATTTGGATTTTCTTTCTTTCACGAATGTGCAAATCACAACACTTACAAGCGCTGGACGACCCATCGGCTTGGACAGCAGGTTTTTATTTTGCTTCGGATCAAAAACACAGGTCATGTCCTGAGGGTGCGATGAGACGAAATGCTATGAAAAATCCCCCTGAATGAGGTTACGTGGCGATGATGGCTTGTGGCGATGGGTGGGCAAACGAATCAAAATGATGTTTGCGTCACCGTGGCAACCGGCGTGTGTGAAGTCACATTTACAGGTATAACATCTTGGTGTGTCTTGGTGTGTAAATATTCCATGACAAAGATTTTCAAAGTGTGGGGTGCTGCAACTTGGGGAAAAAATAAAGAAAATTGATATTTTAAAACTTGCAACACGAACTTAATTCAACCACTTTCAGTTTAAGGATTTACAATGAGCGATGATTGGAGAGCAGCCATTTTGTTTGAACTTTCCCACACTTTAGAACCCCCTGAATCCATGAAATTTAAACCAACAAAATAACAAAAAATAAAATAAAAGGCACCGTGACTTTTTTTCCAACTCATATTTGTCTTTAATATGCACAAGAGTTGAAAGCATCAATGAGCCACCTTAAAGAGAGAAGAGTTCAATCTAAAATTTATAAAAAGATATAAACAATCAGAGGCCAAAACGCTGTCTGTTGCTTTTCTTCTAAGTATTCATTTAAAACAACTTTTTTTTTTCTTTCAAGAGCAAGTAAAAATCTTGCAACAAACATAAGCTTGTATCCAATGGCGGGTACAAGACCAACATAATTGTTAATCTTTAAAGTGGCTCGGTCTAGTCTGCTAGTGCATTACTGTACACCCTCGCTCTAGAATTTTTGTTCTGTTATAAACAACTAGCACGCCCCCATCCCCCATATTCAAATCCCCCATCAATTGCGAGCTCGCCTTCTCAGTAGTTAGCAGCCGACCAGAGGAGCATTTAAAATCTCGGGGGAGAGAGCATATCACCCCGACACCACTACGAAGAAAGGGAAAACGGTTTCAATTATTACTAACCAGCATGTCATGACAATTACATATGCAAGTCAAATATAACAAAAGAAATATTGCTTCAACAAGAGAAAAAAGAAAAAAAAGCCCCGTCAGCCATTTTAGACAGCGAGGTCCTCATTGTTGTCGTCCATACAACGTGTTAGCTGCGGCAGCTTTTTACAGGCTTCATGTCAATATACTTAGATATTTATATTCAATAGACGGCAAGGAGAGATACACATCACATTTTTTTTACAAGTGTTCAAATCGAGTGAGCGAGCTCTTCCGGGCCAAGTGGTGAAGTACTGTGAAGGTGCGCCTTCCCCCTCCCCGAAATCTCGTCTTAATTTTTGTCTGTGAGCAATGAAGCCTGTTAACGAACGAGGGCGCACTGAAAGAGAAACAAAATAGTACTCCCAAAATAAAGTCTCGGTTGTGAGTCTTCAGAAATGACACAAGAAGAATGTCAAAATATAACGAGTAATAAGCTGTCATTTTCTGAACAGTCGTGGTGACTTTATGATGAAAATGTGACGGGAACAAAGCAGATTCGATATGGATAAATGTCACTTTTCTTTGAAAAAGCCCTACTGCTGCGTGGGGAAAGAACACTGGAGATATTGTAATATTGCCAATTCTTCGGGATCGTCTTGGGTTTTTTTTTTGGTAGCAAAGACATTTACCCCCACGTATACTATTGCGACGTATTGTTTTCGTTGGTTCACTTGGCCACTTGTTTTCCTCCACCTAACATTCCAATATTACATTCAGGCTTTTAATTATTTTTTTTCTTTCTTAATACTGCAAATTTATTGTTATTGACATGAATGTTACATGGAAAAAGCTGAGAGATCAGTTTTCAGTTTTACTTGGAAAACGCCCCAAAGAATATAACGAGTAATAAGCTGTCATTTTCTGAACAGTCGTGGTGACTTTTATGATGAAAATGTGACGGAACAAAGCAGATTCGATATGGATAAATGTCACTTTTCTTTGAAAAAGCCCTACTGCTGCGTGGGGAAAGAACACTGGAGATATTGTAATATTGCCAATTCTTCGGGATTGTCTTGTTTTTTTTTGGTAGCAAAGACATTTCCCCCCACCGATACTATTGCGGCATATTGTTTTTGTTGGTTCACTTGGCCACTTGTTTCCTCTACCTAACATTCCAATATTACATTCAGGCTTTTAATTATTTTTTTTCTTTCTTAATACTGCAAATTTATTGTTATTGACATGAATGTTACATGGAAAAAGCTGAGAGAACATTTTTCAGTTTTACTTGGAAAACGCTCCAAAGGGCTAAAATTGACCCCCCCCCCCCAAACCATCCCTTTAGATCTAGGTTTGCTCTCGCAGCCTTACAACTTTTTTCAGAATAATACAGCTTTCTTCTTGTCATGACGTTTTGGCTAATTTTACATTTTTATAAGTTACAATGTTGTCAGACGAGTCCGAAAAGTCCCAATTTTCGTATTAAGAGAATATGACCCCCCCCTCCCAAAAAAGTGGAAAAAGTTGTATTACAAAAAAAAAAATACATTTTCCTGTATAACATGCAGTTAATTTTTGCAAATTATAACTTCATTCTAATAGTTTCTCTTTTAACTAAATATTGCCTCCATTTTACTATTTCCCGTCATTATTTTACTTGAAATCGTGACTTTATTGGAATAGTCGTAATATTAAGACGTTACATGGATTGTTGCTTTTACTTTTTTTCTCAAAAAGTCAAACTTTAAAAAAATAGTTTTGTTGTCAAGACAGTTGTAATCATACAAGAAAAAAAGTTGCAATGCTAAAAAGCTACAAAGAAAAATTTACTAGTAAAAACTTTTTAAAAAAGTACAACTTTTTCCGCATAACATTTTGAATAAATTGGTGAAACCTTACAGTTTTCTTGTGATGTTCCAACTTTTTTTTTCTTAACATAACTCCCTCTTGTGACGTGATGACTTTTTCCTCATTTTTTTTTCCTTTTTCAGTGGTCCTAAGACTCCATACTACTCATCAGACTAAAACATTGTGAAGGTCCAAACAAAAACGCAATTGGAAGCTCCAACTAGAAGTAACCACATCATGAAATGAAACTTAAAAAAAAAACAAGTTTGAAACACACACACACGCGCAATTAAATTCAGGTCGGTTTTAGCAAATTTTGGTGTTACCGCCACCTCCCCTGCGGCCCCCCAACTTAATACTTTTCACATTACAGGGGAATCATGAGCAAATAGGACGTCCAGTGCGGTCCAGTCCAGGGGGAGACGCTACCGTGGACACTGAAAGTCTCTCCAATTCCCAGTGACCCCTTTTCCTTACTCTGCCAAGTCTTTCTCAGCAGGTAGTTCAGTTTTTAAGAGGAAGAAATAAAAATGATGGCAGTTACTTCACTTTTGTGGGGAAGGGCTGGGGGACACACGCTTGAATAATTCAATTAAGGTCACGTGACATCATCAAGTCCTGTCAAGGCGATCTGACACCGTTAGAGCCCTTTCACCCTCAGTGGAGTGGGGAACGAAGATTAGGGGGTGGGGGGGTGGGTTGTTCGTGATTAATCATGCCTTAACTCTGCAATGGGTGACAGAGAATAACTTGGGGAGGGGAAGCTTGCAGGAACCTATGTGACCCTAAAAACTGGTGTGTTTGTTTACCAAGTGTGCGTTTGTGTGTGAGTGTGTGTGAAGAAACGTGCGTAAAACAAAAAGTGCAGTATTTCTCCCCCATTTGTGATATGATGGCTTCCAAACAGAAGTATGCACACTAATAGTCCAAACGTGTGTTTGTGTTTGTGAGAGAGAGAGTGAGAGTGAGTGAGAGAGAGAGTGTGAGGGAAAGAGAGAGAGAGAGAGAGAGAGAGAGAGAGAGAGACTACCAACTAAAATGTGCTTGTGTACATTTTGGCAAACGCCGTTTCGTCCTTCGTGTTTTCTGCGTTGTGTGATATGTCAAAGCAAAAATCTTTGTGATGCAGGGTGCCAGATGGTGGTGAGGGGTAACAACCATTTAAAAAAAACAAAAAAAAAAAACAAAAAAAAAAAAAAAAAAAACCCCCACGGGAAAATAAAAAAAAACGACAATCCCCACAGTGCAGATGTGGTGGTGGGGGCCCCGTACATCTCTCAGTGGTGACTGAGTATGTATCCATGTTGAAGTCAATCTTTCCATAGCAGGTTGCCAGATTAGAGGAGAAATGGATGAATGTCATTGTGGGGAGAAGGGGAGTGGAGATTAAAGAGTACCCGTGCAGCTGGTTGAAGCAAACATCCTGGCTTTTGCTTTTTTCCCCCCTTAGAAATTAAACTCCTTTGTTTGCATGTTGGAAGCGGGGTCAAAGTTGAAGGTTCCTCCTTGAGTGCTCTCTGGGATCAAGCTGGAATCTTCATCGATCTAAAAAGAGGGGAGGAATAGCCACGGTGAACTCCCACGCGAAAAAAAAGTCCATTGTCTAAAATGCTGGTTTACACTTGGCAGTCCTGTGAAATTCACTCAGCTTCCTTTGTAAACTGTCACAAGACACCACTTTTTTTGTTGCCGTGGTATTGAAAAATGATATGATAATCTGAGGTGGGTAATTAGTCAAGACTAGTCATACAGCACCTATTTTGTACATGAATGAACCCCAGGAAAAAAAAAAAAGGACATGTAACCAAGTGTGACTGTCTGGGTCAATTGACAAAAGTAAAGGAGCTGTATCAAAACACATCCACTTATTCGCATGCATGCTCATCAAAGGGCAACCTACACAAAAGGCGCCGCCTGAATGACATCGCTTTTGTGCGACACATAGTAAAAGGACTATTTTTCCCTTGTGATCCTTAAAACATCTTGTGGATCGTGTCAACGTGAAGCATGCGTCTCCAGACAGGGATAATATCCGCAGTTAGGAAGTATTTTAATTTGCTTAGCTGCAACATAGCAATAGTGATCATAGATCATCCTAGTAGGTCATACAATAAAAAGGCATATAAAAAGTACTGCGCACTATGAAGGAGTGGACATTTCGCGTCATTCATTCACTGCCGAGTTAAACATTATGTCGTACATTTTATGTCGATGGCGTATTGAGCGGCGTACCAAAAAACACGGATCAGATCCAGTTTTGCGTTTCTGCACAAGTGTCTGTGGATTCTGAAGGCTTTGTGTGAACTTACGTCATCTCCTGAAAAGTACTGATCAATAATCTCAAAGGCGAGTTTGTAGATGTCTTCGTTTTCATGTTGCTGCAAGTTTTCAATCTTCTCCAAACCTGAGAAATTGGGAGGAGGAAAAAAAGATGATATAAGTTTGAAAAAGCAGAAGGAAATCGCAAAACAACGGCACTCCACACACCCCCGCACTCCTCGATGATCTCGGCGATGCTGCTGGCTTCGTCGCCTGCCATGATGAGAATGTTCTTGAGGCCGTCCAGGACGACCTGCACGACCTGGGGGTCCTTCACCAGCATCAGGTTACAGAATGGAGGGATGACGTTCTTCTCCACCAGGTACTCCACCTACACAAACACACCACAGCCATACTAAGAATGACACCTCATGTGCTTACAAGAGCTGGAAGGTCAGGCAACAAAGCCTATTAAGTGCTCCTTGATCAGTGGCTTATTTAAAAAAAAAAAAAGTTAAACTGAGTTACAAGTGCTACTTCCAGGATGACATGGACATGATAAAACAGCTCACCTGGTCTTTCCTTCCACTGATGGTGAGGTTGCTGATGGCCCACGCTGCCTCCTTCTGAGTGCCAAAGTCCCCCTGCAGAGGGGCATGCGGTCATTATGATGCGTGTGACAAGGTTATTGCTATCACACAGGCCCCAGCCCCATTTGACACAGAGGGCAATCGCTACGATATAGCGATCCGAGTACCATCTAATGAAGGAATTTGGAAGAGAACAAAAGACCTTGGCCAGTTGGTGAATGATCATGGGGATGAGTCCAGCATCAATCACAGCTTGCACCTGCTGCTGGTTCCCAGCTGTAATGTTGGACAGGAACCACACAGCTTCCTACAAATCACAATTAAAAAAAAAAAAAAAAAAAAGTAAAGGGAATTTTTAAGCACAGACACAATCACTGTCTAATGTTAGAGCGTGTGACTACGATTCTGAGTTCTTTGTAAAATCAGCGTCAGCACTGGTATCCCAAGTCTATTATTGACTCAGGCCTTGATTCAGTGGCAATTACCGTCCCTGAGAAATTGCAGCTGCCTTTGACAGTTTGTACATGTTGAACATTAACCATTTCAGGGACGGCGGTTACTACAGTGGACAGCTTCTTATATTATCAGGTTACAGGGGGGCATAAAAGGGTTAAAGAGTCATGAGTCTTAATAAAAATGCACTGATCACATTTTTTAGCACCCAATTAAAAAAAGCAGATCACAGACGTGACACAAAACTAAAGTCGTTTCCGATGGCAACTGTCTGGCTTTAAGAAACATGACGAAATCAAGAAAAAAAAATGCGGTGGTCATTAACTGTTCCTTGTTTAGACCAAGCATAGAGGCGGGTGGGGGGGATGATGGAAAGATAATGGGGACAGTTAGCTCTGAGAAAAGATTAAGGCAATTTTAATTGACCATGGGGACAATTGTTTTGAAACTAAACTAACTTTCATGTCAAACTGACATTCCAGAGCGTCTCGCATACAGGTACAAGGACATGGTAACAATCAGTCGTGTGAAAGAAAAGTGCATATGATGTTGTGTCCGTGCTTGTGGTACCTTATTGATTTTTTCTTTCGGGTGTGTGAGCAAGTTCGGGAAATATCTCAGGACCTCGCAGTTGAGGACAACTTGCGTTTGCTCGTCAGTGCCAGTTACGATGTTTCCCACTGCCCGCAGAGCCGCCGTCTACATGTTGGGACACAACAAGGGCAATATTTATGAATCACATTATCAGGAAGATTCATTTGTTCATCCGAGTCCAGAGTCTCACCTGCACTTTCACCTCCTGGTGGCTGAGGAGAGGCACAAGAAGTGGAACCACACCAGAGTCAATGACCATCTGGATCTGCTCATTTCCACCGTCCGTTAGGTAGGACAATGCCCAAACTGTGTCAACGAGGATCTAAATGCACAAAATTTCAATCAAAAAGTTATAAACCGGTATCAGAATTTTAAAAAATTCCTTTAATCCAAAAAAAAAAAAAAACAAACAAACAAAAAAAAACCCAAAATCAAACTGCCCCCCCCCAAAAAAAAGCAAAAACAAATTCAATATGATTCAGTTTGTAGTTTGGAACACAAAGATAAATCAGTCTACTTTCAAAGAGGACTATGGAAATCGGATATTTACTCCTGAGGAGCTGAAATTTTGAGCAATTGGACAAATTTAAATTAAAAAAGGTATCCTAATGATTTATCTATTATCAAAAATAATGATTAAGTTGATAATTGATTAGTTGCTGATTTACCAATTAATCGTCGTACATCTAACATACACAGTGCCTTGAGATACAAGTTTAATTTGTATCATGACCATCCTTGTAACTCAAACACTTTTATCCCAATCCATCTTTTCCCCTTGAATTGTATTGAAACACCATTTATCCATTTCAGCCTTCAGCCCCCCCCCACCCAAAAAAACCCTACACAAAATTGTTGCAATGTGTATTTTGATTCGGAATATAGCACTGTGTAATACTGCACTTTATAAAAGTAACATCAAATAGAATTTTAAACATTTGTTTTGTCACATAGCATCCATCAACAGAATGCCGCTCCTTCTCGTGGGCCCTCCTTGGCCACGTGGGGGCAGTATAAGACAGACAGACGGATAGAATAGAATGGTCACTGAGTTGTTTTGAATTGCATTTGAGTCCTCCGTTGTGTCCAGATTCGCAGGCTGGGTCTTCCAAAGGCCGCATTTTCGGGCCACAATGATGCCACTTCTGGGGCGACCCAACCGCATGTGGTGTCCAAATTCACATTAAGCCTGTCCAAATTTGCCACGGTTGATGCGGTACATACAGGCTACACGGGGCAATTATCTTTCTAGAATTGGGAAATCACATGCCACGCCTCAAGTGACGTCATGCGAACGAAAATGCGGCCTTCGGAGGACCCAGCCTGTCTCGAGCTCAATGCCTCTCTAAACTCATTAGTACGGCATTATTAGTAGTCTTTATATACAGAGGATAAAGGACACTGTATTTAAATGTGACTAACGTTATACTGTCATTGTAAATGTTGCTCCACGCTTTGTTTTTAAGATGCTGCAACATCGATGCTAATTTGGGTGGCATTAACCTAACAAATCGACAGGCCAAGCTACGTTTATTTTAAATACACACTGTAAATGTTGCTCCACGCTTTTATTTTTTAAGACGCTGCAACATCGATGCTAATTTGGGGAGCATTAACCTAACACATCGACAGGCCAAGCTACGTTTATTTTAAATACACAAGGTGTAATTATCTGTATTTGATGTTCATTTTGAAAACAACCTTCTACTTGGAGTGGCAATAAACAGTTAGAATTCTTTTGGGGGGAGGGGCCTTAAAAATTCTTCACTACTTTAAAGGGAGTACTTTGAAGTGAGTTGAGGTCATTGCCACCATACAGCAATTGTATATTACATTTGAACTCACAAGTCAGAGACAGATAAATAAGCAATTTAAAAAAAAAAAAAGAAAAAAGAAATCGTCCCAATGAGAGCTCGTATCACAGAAAATTTCAGGTCATGTGATATAATCTGGACATTGGAATGCAACCATGCTTTGCTTGATACTTACATTTATATCTGTGTGATGGATTAGCACACAGAGGGCAGGCAAAATCTGTGTGGGAGGGCGGAGAGAGAGAGAAATAAGAGCAGGTTAGGTGTGGGCTCAATGAAGGAGTCGTCGTTTCATCAAAATGAATGAAAAACAAGCTAGTGAAGAGTCAGCCTTCAATGCCGCAACAATCATCTCCGTGGGGGGACGCGGCAGACTCTGTGTGACTCATTCAAGAATCGTACCTCGTCGTTTCATCAAAATGAATGAAAAACAAGACAGAGAAAGAACGTAGCTGTGAAGAGTCAGCCTTCAATGCCGCAATGATCATCTCCCGGGGTGGGACGCAGCAGACTCTGTGTGACTCATTCAAGAATCGTACCTCTTGCACCGTCTCCATGGGAGGGGGCGGGTCCTTATTGCGGCAGAGGTTGACGATGACCCACGTGACGTTGCGCAGAAAGGTGATGGGGATGGAAGGGTCAATGAAAGACAGCAGTGGCTTGACCACACCCAGGGAGATGACATAGTCCCGGCATTGTGGCCCATCACCTGGACGGTAAAGGTGCAAAGGTCACTCAATGTCAAGTTGAACTGTTTAGTCTGTAAGGGTAACTAACGGAGGAAGTTTTGTGTTCTGTAAGTACAGATTTTCTTTATTCTATCCTCCATAGAAATAAATCAAACTTGCTTACATTGTAGCAGCAATTATTTTAGCATTTTTTTTAATTCCATTAATAGAATTGGGATAAAAATATGACATAAACTTGTGAAATGCATTCACAAAAGAATAAAAAAATACTGAAATACGAGAGTCAAAAAGGTATTGATTTTCATTTTTGCACGTGCAGTCCACTGACCTATAATGTTTCCCAGAGCCCAAACAGCTTGTTCACATACGTTCTGATGATGAGAGCGGAGCAGTCGCAAGAACAACGGCACTGCATCTGAAAACAAACACATCAACTCTGAGCGCTCGGAACGACAAAAGATTTACAATCATCTCGCAGCAGCCAAAATAAAAAGAGCAAAAACAAATACAACGGAAAGGCACAGCAATCAATCAGTCAATTAATTTATTATTAGGTGTGTGTGACCTCATATTTTGTCTACAACAGTGTCTGTGCTCTTATATCTGGCTTGCTACTTGAATGTGAAGAGGTTTTGTTGAACAAATCCTAGAATATAAATATCTGTCAAATCAAAATGTCAGTTTGCCGGGTAGTCTGGGGGCAAACACAAATAGCTGGGGAACACAGAGAGGGGGTGGGTGTCGGGTCAACTTACTGGATTTAACCACAGCTTGAGTCTGCGCTGACGTCCCGGAGGCAATGTTGGTCAGGGCCCAAGCTGCCTCGAACTGAAGAGAGGGGCTGTGGGACATCAACAGAAACAGTTAGCCGGGATACAGTAGTCGGCGTGTGAGAAACAAGAGGGAGGGAGGCAGGGAGGGGGGACAAAAGGCAGACTAGTGTGCCAAAAGTGTTGTGATATGCAAACAAGCAATTCTTGCATTGTCTAAAGTAACAGCAACGGGTGCTCCGTGTTAACATGACACTAGTCGGGTTGCCACTCCTCCTCCAAATTCCTCCAGTCCAGCGAATTCATCCGTTCAGCCACAGCGAACACGAGGTCCTGGGAATTCTGGACCTCCGAGAGGCAGGAATGCTGTTATATTTGGCTTGGTCCTGCCAAATGGCCGCCGCGTTTCCTCACCACTCACACATACGGTAAGAGCTCAGATTGACTTAAAATGTTTCAAACTCACTTGTCATCTCTTTCCAGGCAATTGACTAAAATAGGCAGGATGCCAGACTTTATCAAGTCATCGATGGGGGGGTTTCTGTCGCTGGAGAGCAATTTCCTGACAAACGAGAAACACGCTCGTGTTAAAAATTAACTTGGATCACAACATGTATTCGCACATCTGTGTGTGGGTGAATGAATGAGTGTGTGTGTGTGTGTGTGTGTGAGAGAGAATTTGTCACCTAGCTGCCTGGACAGCGCTGAGCTGGATGACTGCATTGTCACTGGTGGCATTCTGAAAGCGAGAGGAAAGAAGAGCGGCGTCACTGACAGCTCAGGCATCTCACGTGTACATTTGCGACTAAAGTTACCTGTAAGATGGCATCAAGCGTCACATTTTGCTGCAAAAAAAGAAAGAAAGGGGGGTGGTGGGGTGGAGGGGACAAAAAAAACTATATTAGAGCAGGGATTTCCCAAATGTGGTGCGTATCTGGGCATACACTGATCTGTTGTTTCACTCTCATGCAAACATGCATTGCGTTGTACTTTTTAGGGCACGGGTGTCAAACTCAAGGCCCGGGAGCCAGATCTGGCCCGCCACATCATTTTATGTGGCCCGCGAAAGCAAATCAAACATGTCAACTTGCATGATGCGTGATAAAATCTCGACCAAAATTTAAAATTCTTTGTGATAAATAAGAGACATATTGTCAGCATTTTCTTGTTACCAAACCCCCCATTACAGTAACTTAAACAATAGTTGAATGAACCGTTATTGACTTTTTATATGGTTTCAAGGTCATAACGGCCCTCCAAGGGAAACGGTCACTAAAATGTGGCCCACAACAAAAATGAGTTTGACACTCCTGTTTTAGGGTGTATGTGCAGGGGACACTGGGTGCGTCAACTATGGATGTTGACATTCATAATGTTGAAAAGGCGATATTGGGAAAGAGGGCATTCATTTTTTTAATGGGGGCGGGGGGGGGGGGGGTATGTACGTTGTCAGCCCCGTTTCCATTTTTTTGTATGGGGTAGAAAAACGTCACAGCCCTTTATGTTCATTGTTAGACGGCAAACTGGTGGACGCGGAATCAACAGTGCCTCGGCTGGTTGCTGCAATCAATTAGCGCAGTCCGTTTGCCTCAATTGCTTCGCAAGGCAACTCATCAACGACGAATTCCACGTCACCGACAACAGATCATCGTTTACCCCTTTGAAATCGGAGTCCACGTCAGAGTCCTCCAGACTCTCCTCCTGTGGGACGTTTCTCTTCTTCAGTAGGTGTTCGTCTCGTTTGTTCTGGCAAGAGGAGCAGAAGAAGTCATGAAAGGACGAGTGGGGGGGGGGGGTGGAACGCCTTAATGCATCCATCAATTCTTAAAAGCCACAGTGAAAATGCAGGCCATCCTGAAAGATTTTTTTCCCTTGGGTACACGAGGCATCCCAATTGGAAGTTCCAAAAATATGAGCCTGCATCTTAAGCAACAGAGTTAACACACACAGACTGTGAATGTATACACACACACACACACACACACACTCTATTGGTAGGAGGAGATTCCCTTGGCCTATATTCTCGAGCATCATGCCGCTGTGCGTCAGTGATGACTAATCAGCCCACTGCACTGTTTTGCTCCTGACCCGATCCGGCTCTGTGGAATGTGCGAGACGCCGGACCACCACAGCACTGCTCGCCCGTGATGCTTTAACATTGCAGCCTTTTGCCCGTGACCCCCACACGCCCGCTAAAAGTTAAGTGTTAGTTCTTACTGACTCACACAGGCTGTCAATACGCAATTACTGACACCCTTTTACCTTCTTTGGTCGTTAGTGTGTGTGTGTGTGTGTGTGTGTGTGTGTGTGTGTGTGTGTGTGTGTGTGTGTGTGCGCGCGCGCGCGCGTCTCTCACCTTTCTCAACTCCACTGTCACCTCATTCCGATGCCTTCGCATAGTCTGTAAGGAAGGGGAAAAAAACGTTTAGGAGGGGTGGGAAAAAAAATCACTTTAAGTGAACTCAAGGTGGATAGGAAGTGCTCTGTATTTCTACATTTGCATGCAAACCTCTCAAACGACCCGTTTAACCACCAGGTGATGCCAGAAACACAAAAACCTCTCAACCATCACCCTATCCAGGTGTTGGCCAACCTTTATGAGCCTCAATTAACTCAAAAACTACTCGTTGTGGCCTTTTGAATTGAACACAAAGTGGATCTCCTCACAAGAAGGCATGACCTATTCTCTTGTGTAAATGGCAACATGTCCATAAAGTGGTTCATTGTACCTTCTGACATCTATAAGAAGACAATTTCATTGTTCTAACAATCAGTGTACGTCACTGGCATAGATAGATGAACAAAGATATTTGTCATGAATAAACCATAATTTTCTGACAAATTAAGTGAAATTTGACAATCACTCATGGCACCCGGTTTGGAAATGATGATCTAATGTTGTTCAGTCGAGCGAGTACTTTTCAACAAAACAATTTGGCCTAGTGAAGTATTGCAGCTGAGAAATGTTTCAAAGCTTTTCGTGGCGAACGTGGATCTAAACAGCATAGTTTGGGGATTCTTGTGGGTCAACATTTAGATTTATCAGCGAGAGGCCCCGGACAAACATGTGAGAGCGAGCGCTCGTTATAGAACAGAAGTGAAGAGAGACAAGTTGGAGTAATTGCTGTATTTGTGCATCTGTTGGCGGTTGCCGTTTGGGACCTTGTGACTCTTTCAAAGGGTTCATGTTGCTTTCCCAAATAGCCCCTTGCATAATGTCCTCACTGTCGAAGTTATGGAGGCGTCTCGCCACAAACCAACACATATGAGACTAAATTAATTGACAGGCGATAAAATGGACAATGAAAACAAACAATTTATATGTCAGTATTTGGACCGCAGAGCTTATTCAATTAGTTTTCAACTTTTAGGTCAGCTCAAATGAAACTGTTGACATGATTTTTAATGAAGTAAGTTCAGTACAATTGTACAGAGATAATTGTCTGAGGTTGAGAGGGTAGCCCTGAATAAATTATAAGTCAGACAACTTAAATCATCAAACGTGGCTGAAATCTGTCAATTTAACAGAAAACTGCAAAAAAACGTACTATTTCCCATTATAATACCGCAGTTATCACTGGTGATACTTGGTCATAAACGGTAGCATTCAGCTCGATTCTGCGCTTCCGTGCGATTTCTTTGGTTCAACTAGATAACAGATTTCATCAGAATTAATCATCTAAATAATCTGAGTAACATCGCGCCGCATTGAACGCGTCAGTCACAACAACAAAAAAACGCTGCAAGGAAACCAACAGCAAGAGTTGGGAACTCCGGTTCCTCGAGAGCCATGTCCTGCCTTTTTTAGATCCGTCTCTCCTTCAACACACGCGATTCAAGTGATCAGCTCATCAACAAGCTCTGTAGAGGCCTGAAACAATCACGAACATTATTTTTTTTTCTTTTCTAGGGAAAACGCAGTCATGGCGCGGCGTCATGTCAAACCGAGTAGGCATAATGCAGTGAAATGCTTTGAGAAGGCGGGCCGCAATCTGTCGACCTGGTGCTAACTGTTAAGGTGTGGATGGTCCGTAAAAGTGCTCTCGTGTTCACCTAAAAAGCTGGAGTGGGAGGCAGGAAGCATGAGCGATGAAAGGGAATTAAGCCTCACGGCATATTTGAGAGGCTCACAAAGTGACCTGTACTGTAATAGATAGGACTGGATTGTACACAACACTGCATTCATGGTAGGGTAGCTCGCTGAAATTGTTCATGGTCTCTTGCGATGGAATTTACGCGGGCAATGATAAGATTGAATTTTAGATTATTCACGTTCGAAACACGATGAAATATAAGCTCTGCATGTATATTTAGCTTTTTCTCTGAATGTGCATGTAAAAGTTGGGTGAGATAATCCTACTGGTAAATAAATAAATCAATAAAAACCCATATTACTAATTCATCCAGCCCTAATCTGAGTCATCCGTTTAAATCGGGGATATTTTGATCCGGCCCATTGTTGCAATTGTAAAAAAACACATAAAACTACGAGGAACTGTTGGAAGGAAAAAAAAAGGCCCTCAAAACATAGGAAAGAAAGGTTTCAGCAAACATGCTGCAACAGAGAAGCTACACATCCAGGATGCCTGAAATAGCATCAAGAATGCATTGGCAAAGTCCATCTGTCAGAGCAGCCATGTGCTCGTTCCACCGACTTCCAAACACATTCAAAACAAGCACCGAGTGGACGTTGAACTGCGAGTTCTCGGCTGAGTGGATTGGGTGAAGGCTGGTTTTGTATGCGCTGTCCCGCACAAGGATTATCTCAGGATTACTAATAGATCAGGAAGCAGCGGGAGTCGTGCCATTTCTTCATAAATATTGTAATTTTGATTAATCATATTCATTACTGTGTCATCCAGTTTTAGCCTAGAACAACCCTAATGTGGAGATAGTTCACATTTTAAATCCTGGTTGATTTGAATAAAGCAGGTAGGTGGGTAGGGACATATAGATATGTATCTGTCACTAACTGGCTGTGGGAAGTGGTCGGTCAATGAGACACAGTCATTAATCGCAGATTTCAGTAGCCATGGAACCACTGTGTCCATGTTTCACTGCTTTCATGTTATTCAGCTTGCCACTGTACAGTGCACGTGTTGTAAAGTCAAACAGCATTTCGCACATTTATAGTTGACACCCCTCCCCTCAAAAACTTGTAGTTAATAAGATACATTTTCAAATCCATAAACAACTTTTTTATATATATTCTTCCTATGCTTCAGCCAAATGTGATGTAAATTAGTGACACGAGTCTATCCTCGCACACGTTTTTGGTTTTATTTGCCTTTGTAATTTAATGTTACTCTGAAGTGCCACTATGTCACATCACATACTTTGCTTCCCATACTAATTTAATGAATTTTATCAAATACAAATGCCTCTTACCTGTGCTACATTTATTCCTACCTATAGAGCTTGGCGATTTGGTTGAAAAGTGTATCCCTATAAGTATTTCATATCACTCACTGTCAATGTATATTGAATATTTTCCTTTTTTTAACTCTTCAAAATAAGAACCTGGAGGAAAAAGGCTGAATGTAGGTAATTTTATTTTTAAATGTAATATTTAACCTTACATAAGAGTTTAAAACAACTATGAAAAATTCAAGTGGTCAATTTCAAGATTAGATATCTGTCATTTTAAAGATAATGTACTTAGTAAGGCTGGGTGAATCACAATGCAAGCATTTCAGATTATTCTAAGGAGAATTGATCATTCGACCTATTTAAAATAAGAAAAAACATTTTGAGTAAAGATAAAACTAAAAACAATTAAATTGATTGAAGACAAACATTTAACAACACACAACTGCCAAGAAGAAAACAAATCTATATATCTGGCAGTAAAATACGTTTTTTTTTCTCCAAATTTCCTCTAAGATCGGGCTTGCTTGCTATTTTTTTTTTAAACCAATACTGTAGTGATTGAGTGGCTGGCAACCAATTTGGTGTCTATAAGACCTACTGCCCGAAGTCAGCTGGTATAGGCACCAGCACGCTCGCCACCCTCGTGAGCATAAGAATTTTGGACGGTATTAAATTATTTTGCCCAGCCTTACCTTCATATGTATTGTATAATTTATGGGCTGTTTTTTTTTCTTGTCTCTTAATGTGTTTGTTTAATGCATTTTTGAGCGCTTAATTAAATAACATCACCTGACCGCCATCTGTAAACTCTTATTGGGTCTTGACCAGTATTTTGTGAACTTGGACCCTTAGTTTTCTGCAATTATTTTGAGTTCATTATTATATATTGTCTGTTTTTTCCCTCAGGCCTTTTTAAAAATACTTTGGATAAAAGGCGAAGGAAGTTATGAAAGTGTGAATCTGATTCAACAAAAAAAGGTCCCACCCTAAACTCTCGACCGCCATTGACCTGGCATTTTCTTAATATTTGTCCCACAAGAATGATACATCCCGGAATCACCGTTACAATATTTTCCAAATCCATTAATCTTATTGTTTACACATATCCACGCATGATGAGTTTTACTTGGTACTTATTCAGGATATCTATTCTCGGTATTTAACATGAAGAAACGTGAGTGTGAATGTAACCGTAGCGTCACAACATGTGATTAATGCTTAATCCCGAGCCTCGCTTTAGCTAGCTCACCTGGCTAACGCATAAGGAGGGGCGCTTTAGGATTTTTACCACCAGGGTGTTTGCAGTTCGAACAACGCCCACGACAAATATATGCAAGCATGCCGATGAAATGTTCGGAAATCGAGCCATTCGGCAGAAAACGGGGCGAGTTTGAGGATCATTCCACCGGCCCAGGCCCGCCCTTCGAACGAGCCGCCGGTGTCCAGCCTCCTAGCCAGCAGCGTTAGCCGCCACTGACAGCTACCTCCATTGCCAAGCCAACATTTGCTCAAATACATCCAAATATGTCGCCATTTCCACTCAGCATCAACACTACCAGCTCGGCAATGATAGTCTTACTCGGTGGAAAGGTGTAAAAATGTCCAAGTGGGATCACTTTTGACAGCGAACTCCACATGTTAGCAGAGATTAGCTCGCTTGGAGCTGTAGCCGGGGCCAGGCTGCTGTTGCTGCTATTGCTGCTGTTGCTGCTCCTTCGTCCTCGTCCACCTCTTCCTCTTCCTCCTCCTCAGAGCGAGGCCCAAAGGGAACGGCTCAAAAACGACCCAAATGACCCACGAAGTCATCGCACGGACTCGCCGGCTCACCTCGACATCGCGCCCCTTGTTCTTAAAGCTCTTGATGCGGTGGTTTTCCAAGCCGGCGTTGTCTGCCATGGCTGTGTGCGTAAGTGTAGAGGCGGGAGGGGGGAGTTGTCTTCTGTTACTCCGGATTAGGGGATCTCCTCCTTGCGAGATGAGGCTCAAGCACCGCAGCTCGTGTCCTGCTGATGCTCCTGCTGCTGCTGGGCTCCAGAATGCGGGGCGGACGGCGACGTCACAAGTGACATAGCGGAAGTAGGCGCGGTTACGAAGTTTGACGCCATGATGCTTTCAAACGCTCCAGGTAAAAAGACAACTTTTCGTTGGACAAAAAATAGAATACTGTACACATTTTACTTCACTTACTAAAAATAATTTCCCTGTTACGTTATTAAAATTGGACAAAAAAATAGAACACTGTACACATTTTACTTTACTTACTAAAAATAATTTCCCTGTTACGTTATTAAAATGTTATTTTTGCCCGTGACCCACGTGAGGATAAGCGGTTCAGATAATGATGGATGGATTCATTGTTTTGTTTACTGTTTGGTATTTTTGGATTTGATTTGATTGATTTTCAATTAAACGAAACGAAATGTTTAGTCCAGGTGTGGCAGGAGAACCCTCAGAAGACCATTCTCCACTTCATCAGAACCATGCCCAGGCGTTGGAGGGAGGTCATACAGGCACATGGAGGCCACACACACACACACACACACACACACACACACACACGCACGCACGCACGCACACGCGCGCACACACACGCGCGCGAGCCTCATTTTGACTTGTTTTAAGGACATTGCATCAAAGTTGGATCAGCCTGTAGTGTTTTTCCACTTCTATTTTGCTTGTGACTCCAAATCCAGACCGCCTTGGGTTAATAAATTTGATTGCCATTGATACATTTTGAGTGATTTTGTTGTCAGCACATTCAACTACGTAAGGAACTAAGTATTTAATAATATTTCATTCATTCATTTCTAGGATTTTTTTGAGCTGTGGTTTTCATATATCCACACATATTTTTTAAAATGCTCTCCAGGCAATGAATAAGCAAAATAAAATGAGAAACAAAGATTCCTGCGGACACAAATATTTAATAATTCAACAGTATTTGGATTTGCTTGTACAATCACATGATTAGTGCAAAGACAAGTACATAATTGGAAACTTTAGCAGCAGACCTGCATCGATATGAAACACACAGAATCTCATTTTCAGAGCCAAGCAGCGCCACCACTTATAATATTCATAATGAAGAATAAATACAACATAAAATATTTCAAGATGTACATATCAGGAGCAGGGATTAAGGAGGTGTTGGTATTAACGATTTGCCATTCCAATATCAATATGTATCGGGTTTTCCGTCAGTTCAAAACACACAGTGACAAAAACAAATTGCTACGTTCCCCAATTTGAATGATGAATCTTATGGACTCAGGCAACACAAAATTGATCAATCCAAAAAAAAGAAAAGAACTAGATCGTTTGAAGTTTGATCTGTGAATAAAATAAATATAATTACAAGTCAGTGCGGGCGTCTTTAAACCATTAAACATTCAAGAACATACAGATGGAAAAATACTGTTTCCCCAAGAAATGGCGACTGATCCTGAAAGCATACATTTTGGGAATCCAGAATGGAAATCTAGTAGGCTCCTGTAGATGTTACAATTCATCATGAATCCTGACTGGATCATTCTCACCACAATTAATAGCCTTTGTATGTGCGGAAAAACATCACAAATCCACATCCTTCATGGACACTCATAAGATCATTCGGGAGTGCCGGGGAGCGATTGGCCAAATCAGCCGATCACAATCAAAACATTATATGTGTGTGACTGACACAGTATGCAAGGGTGACAACGACAACGACGAGAAAGGCGCTGGTTTAGAAGATTTGTTGTTCAAAGAGAATTTTCTCGAATCCTTGTGGAGGCGTGTGGTAGAAGTCACTAAACTGGCAGTCTAAGATGGCACTGTCGTCCACTAGAATGGCAAACAAAAAAAATTACGTAGTGAGGAACAACATTCAGAATTTCATCTTTGTGTGAGTTCAAACACTGAATTAAAACAAAAAAAGATAAATGGTGGTGCGTGTTGGGTAGCTGTGACAAAAAGAGAACATTTTCTTCCCAGGATGTTACTGTTGGAGGAAAAAAAAAAGCACAGCGCAATTTTTTTGCATTGAATAATTTTTTAAAATTATCAAAAATATTACAGTGAAATAATTGAAAGAAATCTGTCAAATACTTCACAAAGGTAATTCAATCTTTGATGTTAAAAGAAAAGGGGTAAATATTCTTCCGAGAGTAGGCACCATTTAATTTTGTTGAGAACACACAAGTTAACTTTCATCCTAAATAATTACATTCATTTAAATTGCACCAAATAATTAAGATTGCACATTTGTTAAACTTGTAAATTTAAGATGAATGAATTAGGTCCAATGAGGTCAGATTTGTTGTGCTTGAAAAGGAGGACATTTTTCATACTTTTATATTATACTTAATTTCAAAAATACTCCCACTGACATTGTTACACAATCGTCATCAATCAATTTCTAAGTATGTAAACTCTGCAAAAATAATCCTGTGCTATGAAGTGCCACAACGCACAGAAAAGCAAAAAGTTGCCCCAATCCAGCTCCTTAAATGTTTGATAGTGTCCCCAAGTGATGATGCCACCAATAACAAATGCACTTACCATAAACAACGGGGTACACAGTGCCTCGTATGCCCGATGCGGGACAATGCATGTTCTTTCCATTCAGATACAAGTTCATCTCCACATGATCATACGTGATGCCCTGAGGATTGATTGTGAAGGGGTAAAAGATACAAAGTGTGAGAATCAAAACAAGCCAACTTTAGATAATATGTTGCGCCACCTTTTCCACAGTTCTGTGAAAAGAAATACCTCCTGCGGAAATATTTGAAGACACTGAATATTGCAAAAGATCTGTCAAACTTCATTTGAAAAGAGGCTGGTTTGATGGAACCCTTTTTTTAAATGCAAAACGGCGAGGCGACAACTGCACGCCCCCTTCTGACAATTTTGGACTTGTTTTGGGAAAAAAAAGTACACTAAGTAAATGCAACCATTGTGATCTGTAAATTGCACATGTGGAAACGAAAACACAATAGCGCTATTGAGACTGCACTTGTGAAGAAATCGCAGATTGCTCATATGATTCGAAACAAGATTTGCAACCAGATAAATTGAAATACCTGTTCTTTTTTGTTTATTGGGCCACAAATAAATTAGTCTGTTCCACGTGAGATCAAATTGGAGAAAATGTGGCCCGCAAACTAAAACGAATTTGACACCCCTGCTCAAGGGGTGATAAACTTGCAGGAAACCATCACCTGTTCCATAGTATGGATCGCAACTAGTGGATACACACGGTAAACATTAATTGTTCTGCCTGTCATTGTATGTTGCTGGCATGAATAAGAGAACAAAGATAATTTGTCAATGACAAATAATTGCTTTCGGACTTTGATTTTCGGGTGGGTTCTCATGACACCCTTTGTTGATCTCTCAAAGCGCATCAGTGCGCCGCGGCACCTGGGTTGGCAATTCCCTGCTACAGATGATGCCGGAGGTTAACAGGAACCCTTAAATGTCTCCATGTGGTTGATCTAAGTGCTGTTAAACATATTTTTGTTAAAAAAAAAAAAAAAAAAAAAAAAAGACCAACAGGGAATCACACCAGTTCTTGATTTTTAAACTGCAGCTCCCTCTGCTGGATCTTGAGGGTCACTGCCTCACATGTCCACAAGTGCATCAGACTATCTGGAACAACTGAAAATAAGTTCTGCACTCTCTCTATGATCGCTGATTTTTTTACGAGTTTGAAAAAAAGGTTCCATCTCCTAAATCATTATAACTTTCTCTAGACATACAAATCCACTGTTTTACATTTACAAGTTGGTTAGCTAACGCTCAAAGTCTTTCCCCGCCAAATCTTGTAAATTATGTTCTGTTCGCTGTGTGTGGAGTTTGCGTGTTTTCCCGATGAAATCGATAAAATTGATGCCATTTTAACTTCGAGTGAGATTTGTACTAAACCACAAAAAAACGATTCCAAAAGGCACTCACCACAATGTCGCCCTCCTGAGGGAGATTGTTGGCAGGCAGGCGGTTCTTCTCTTCGCCGTTGTAGACGACACAACCGTCATGTCTCAGGACGAGGCTGTTGGAGTCTCGGCCTAAAGGCACTTGATTGAGATTGGCTTTCTGCGTGGCCACGCCCACTCCCCATACACCTTTTAACACATATACACGTTGGCCGTGAGGGATTCATGAGCACGACAGGCACAGGAACATCAATCACTGTTCAGCGGAACCTTAAAATTCCAAATGACCACAAACATTGGGAAACAATCAGAAATCTCAACAAAATGTACTTATTTGTATTTTAATAGCTTAATTGTAGGTCTCAAAAGTCGCTTAAAGGCAGGAGACGTTAACTCGTCATTGTAGGCAATATCTTGTGAGACTTCAGCAAGAACGTAAAGACATTCACGTGGGTGTTGTTTTTTTTTTTTCTTTCCCTAAGAGGCATCTGGAGGGATGGAGGGAAGGCAGAAGAATATCTTGACTCCCTGTTAAATTGAAGGAATGGCTATAACGACATGACCCAATTCCCAGATTGATGTTGCTGATGTCTCAATGATGACTGACGGACTGATCTGCCCACCACTCATCACTGATTGCCTTTACAGTCAATAAAGGATCATCAGATTCACCAGCATCCTTGAAGGGATTGTGGTTGACCTCAAAGGTTCCACAAGAAGAAAAGTTAAAGTGACTGATCGACATTATTAGTTGAGGACTTACCAGTGGACTGGATTTTGAACTCAAAATAACTTTTATTCTGGTGGAGAGGAGCGTTGGCCAGGCACGCCCCTGTGCCGCATATCCTGCGGCCACTCTTCACTATGACAACATCTGTGCCTGGGATACAAATGAAAAAAAAAAATCAGTCAGTCCTTTGTAAAGCCCTTAAAACAAACGGCAAATTAAGCAGTGTCAAAGACAGTTCGCCATGGATGAAGTTGAACCACCAGGTAGGGGGAATCCTCGGTTTATGTCATTCTGTTAACATGGAGGCAATGCAACCCAGATTTGTACTCAAGCCCAAACAGGGCATAGGCTATAATGAACCTCCACTAACGCAGGAGAATTACAATCTGTATTTGCATGGAAAACACTTGTGGGCCATAAAGTGATTAAAGGAAAAGCATTAAAGGAGAAGTCATGTCAAAATTGTTCTTACAATAATAATTTCTAAGCGGACCCACTTGTCTAAACATGGTATTCTGATTAACATTGCATCAATGGAATATGCATTAAGCAGCAAAAATCAACCTGTTTTTAATCCATCTCAGTGGGCGACCATTATCAAACTTGCGAACATCACATGACCAAACTCAGAAAACAGGTGAGCCATGACTGGTTGTCAATTGAGCCCTAAGCAAGTGCAATGTTATTTTCAGTCAACAGCAAGTGGCCAAATGGCCGCCCCTTTAGATGGATAAAAAGAGGTAGATTTTGCTGCTAAATTTATATTCCACAAACGCAATATTAATCAGAATGACGTGTTTGGACTAGTGGGGGTGCATTGAACATATTGTTCTGAAAATTTCAGACTTGACTCGCCCTTTAAGTAAGACGATAACTCCTTGAGTCGCCGCGCTTATTCTTATGCCGCTGCACAAACTAATTCACAGTGCGCCATTTATAACCTCGAAACATTGTACTCTATAAACAAGATGCTACCATATCGCTACCGGGGAAATTATTGCTAAGGCCGGGGAGTTCTCCTCTGGCCTTCTGTGATATTTGCAGTTATCCCGATGACATTATCCTCAAAAAGTATGTGTGGCAACTGGTAAAGGATGGTTTTGCATACTAAGACTGAATGCCTGTGAACTTGAGTGTGAATGATTGATTGCCTATGTATCCTGCGATTGGCAGGCGACCAGTGCGAGGCGTACCCCGCCTCTCGCCCAAAGTCAGCTGCGAAAGAGTCCAGCACACCCGTGACCCTAAGTGAGGATAGGTAGCATAAAATAACGGATGGATGGATAATTTAAAAGTCAAACTGCAAGCAAAACTTAATGAAAGAAGTTCTCGACAAGGCAAACGTTAATTGAGACGCCCAAGACGGAAAAACGGCAGTACAAAGTGTTGAATTGCTTAAAAGGTGAAATGCGAGTGAAAGCATGAAATATGGACAGCTTGCAGCGAGGAACAAGTTAGCCCACGCCTGAATAGCAAAACGCACACGGAACGAATTTCATGATTAAAATGCCTTTCGATAAACCCACGTAGTAAAGGGAAATGTAATTTACCCATGCGATGAGTGTCTAACTGAACGGTGGGCATTTCTTTAAGTTGGATATGTCCCGATCCTCCATCTCCGCAGCAGTTTAGGCAACACGTAAACATCGCCGCCATCTTCCGAGCAAAGAACGCACAACACCACTTCCGGAAACAGTCCATATTTTAGGCCATTTCAAACCACAGCGACATACAGAGGCGGAGGCCGGAATCACAGCAACCCAACGCCCATCCAATCACAGTGCCAACGACAGGCAGTTGCTCCTGATGGCATGGAAACAGGGGAAGAAGAAAAAAAATTAGGGTCAACACACGTGACTTGGTGACTATTGGATATCCCTGTTACATAATCACGTGTGGGTTTCAAAATGAGTTTGGAAGTTATGGGCATATATTAAGAACACTAATCTTGATTAAATGGGAATTCTCTGTGTGCCAAATAGCAGCTCTCGAACGAGGATTGCATCACAAATGAGGAATTTACAAAGACAGAAATGCATAGTTTTGATTAACAGTATCACGGGGATTTTGTAATATCTTTAACGTTAGATACAATAGACAGATAAATAGATACCATGGATAGGGACTGACATATACAAATGGATACAGGGGAAATAAAAAGGCTTTACACCTCAGATCGAATGCCATTTTTTGGGTGATATGCAGAAATTAAAAATAAAAAAAAAAACTACGACCAGAATGGATAATGTGCTTGCACAATTGCGCATTCCCTCTTACACGTGGCGATGTGGCTGTCTTCAGAATTAACCAATCACTTTCAAACTCATATTAAATGAGAGTTTGCACATACCTATCACCATTTAAAGTGTCTGTGAGACAAATAAAATGTAGCTGCTCTAATAGAACAGATGAACTTTTTCTCCATAACTCAAAAAAGGTGTATCTATGGCACATCTGCAACATATCCAAAGGCGGAGCCAGAAGTTTTTCAGTGAGGTGGCCAGGGTAACAAAATAGCCATGTCTTAATATCAGGAAGGCAGAATACCATCTCATGAAAAAAATCCTGCAAGTATGTTCTTTCAAAGAACGCCTTTCTAATCGGAATGGCTGTGTACTTGTGCACTTTCCCCCGGCTGATGTAGTTCTGTAAAATGATTTTTAATATCTTCTTTGGAGGATGCAGCTGATGAATTTGGTCAAAGCTATTGTTGCAATGGCATGAATGAAGTGCAATACACCTAATGTCAGAGTTGGGAGGAGAAGCACCTGTGGCTACAGCCAAACTTTGGCCGGGGTTTTACTTTCTAGGCCTGGATTTGACACCTTTACCTAGTGTACAGTCTATGCATCAAAACTGAGGTTCTACTTTTAGAGCATTGCACTGTGCTGACAGCTGTTTACAATGATTTGGTGACCTAATTTAACTGCTTGAGAGGAACACAAGAATAGGGACATACACAATATTAAACATATTGCTAGACTACAATCATTGATTGGACATTTCCAATAAAGAATGCATTCTCTTTCGGATTCGGCTGTTGTGGTTCCATGGTGCAGAAGGTGTACCAATATTGTGACAGGTGAGCCTTTAAGTGTTGTTAGGTTTAATTTGCATATTTCATCACGATGTAGCACATTAACACGCACGGAGTGACATAAGTAGGGCAGCATGAGAATGCGCACGACTCGCAAGCAGGGTTTAAAACCAAGTTGACAGTTTTTTCACGCCATGGTGTTTTGCATGGCAACAGCACCTCCCGCCTCTTTACGTCACCTAGGGACTATCAACTAAAAGCGTAATTGGTAAAAACGCAAAATAGTTATAATTGCATGTAAATTTTCGTCAAAAATAAGACGTTAATGTATACAATTTCTAAACATTAAATTTTTTTGTATTTGGTCATGATTTGACGATTGACGAATTTGTGCTTTTTTTAATTATTTTTCAACGATTCCGGCGTGGAAAGGGTTGAACTTGAACCCGGAAGTACGTTGATGAAGTCTGCTTGGCAACACGCGCCATGATTGCGTCGTAGAGCGGACGTCTTCCCAGCTGCTGGTAAGTAAGCGCGTCGCTTTTTTTTTTTACCCCGCTTGTTACTATGCGCCAGCTAAATGTGTCACGGAGACCGGGGCGGGCTTCGTTACAGCGAGCGTCCGTTGACGGCGGTGCTTTTCGGGACTCGACGTCCGTTGACGGGGGTGCTTTTCGGCATTCGACGTCATTTTCGGTTGATAACAAGCGCATCCATTTTGATTTATCAAACTTCATTTGGCCGAATGTTACGTGGCATTCGACATCGTGCCCGCGGATGTGACATGTCACGCCGTGCAAATGAGTTCGACGGCGAGGATGCTCCGACGTGACACCTACTTTTTTTTGTCATTTTCGGTTGATAACAAGCGCATCCATTTTGATTTATCGAACTTCATTTGGCCGAATGTTACGTGGCATTCGACATCGTGCCCGCGGATGTGACATGTCACGCCGTGCAAATGAGTTCGACGGCGAGGATGCTCCGACGTGACACCTACTTTTTTTTCCCTCCTCGATGTGTGTGTTGACAGGAGACCCACATGGAGCAGCTGGAAGAGGAGCTGACGTGCCCGATCTGCTGCGGTCTCTTCGAGGACCCCCGCGTCCTCCTCTGCTCGCACAGCTTCTGTCGGAAGTGCCTCGAGGCTCTCCTGGAGTCCCCCCGGGGCTTGTCTTTTTCCAGGTCGCCGTTCAGGTGCCCAACGTGCCGCAAGGAGAGCCCGCACAACGGCGCCAACAGCCTTCAAGTCAACTACTCCCTTCGCGGCATCGTGGAGAAGTATGCTCGGCTCAAAGTGGCGCCCAAGACGGGCGTGTGCGCCCACCACACGGGGCAGCCGCTCAACATGTTCTGCGCCACGGACCTGAGGCCCATTTGCGGCT